GCAATACTAGTTGGATCCATTACATCAAGTTGATGAAACACAACATTTTCAGTGAGACCAAAGCCTTTGAGCTTTTCTAGAGCTTCATTGCCTCTCTTCTCATCTCTGGCTGTCAAAACCACAACGACTCCTTTACATGCCAACTGCCTACATAGCTCAAACCCTATTCCTTTATTTGCCCCCGTCACAACTGCATACCTAGAGAAATAAAAAGATGAAAACGGTAAGGTCTTGTTAGATTCACAATATTGAATATATCAAATAAGACTAGACAATAAAATAGACATGATTTTTTATTTTTATTCTTTCCCCTTAATACAACATAATCTTGTTTGGTCTTAGGATGTCAACAAGTCGAGTTGAGCCGGCTTACTAGCCGAAACTCTAGGCTTGGGCTCGGCTCAAGTAAAATTAACACGGGCTTTTTTGGCCCTGATCAACAAGCAAAAGCTCGATCAAAAATTCGACGCTCAACCCGAGCTTTTTGGTTTTGGCATTATCGACCCGAGCTGGCTCGATTATTATTATTATTTTTTATTATGATTGGTAGCACATATTGCCTTTAAAAAGCACGCTGCATTTTATTTTATTTTTTTTATTTATATGATCATGGGTGTTCGGTTTAACTCACATATCTCGACTAATTCTACGACGTCCTGAAATTTACAGTCAGGTACTCACCTTTGTGATCCTGAAGGGACTCAAACTAAGGACTGTCTTTTTAAAGGTAGCTCTCTATCGCCTTTTCTTTAAATGAGTAGAGCCCGAGCCTCGGCTTGATTTTACCGAGCCTTTAGTTGGGCTGACTCGGGCTTTTTCACGGCTGAGCCGCGCAAGCTAAATTGTCATCCCTATTTGGTATTGAGTATTAAAATTGCCACACAACCATTTGGGGTATGAACTCATTCGTATTCATGTTGGGATGGAATCTCCAAGAAAGTTACCACGATCAACGGAGCGAGCTCATGCAATTTGGGTACTGTGAGAAAAACTCTTTGTCCATTTGATTGCAAATATGGAATTGAATTGAATTGAAAACAAATTTCAGAGAATTGAATTGCCTAAAAATTATTTTTCTGAGAATTGTAAATTATTGTGTTTGATTGATATAATTTTTCACATGAAAAATGTTAAAATAAAAGTGTTTTTTGGTGTTCGTTTGCCTTTGTTTTACATGAAAATTGTTAATTAAAGGGATAAAATTTATTGACACTGGGGATGAAATTTGTTTTCATTGTCAACAAAAAAAAATCGAGAAAATCATCTATCTTTTGATATTCATTTGACTTTGTTTTATATGAAAATTGTCAATTAAAGTAATATATTTTTTAACAAAAACTTTTAGAATTTGTTTCCATTGTCCCAAAAAAAAAAAAAAAAAAAAAGTCAACAGTGGATTGTATTGGTGGAAATTGGTTTTCAAGGAAAACCAAGAAAATCACAATTTCCAGGACAAACAAGGAAATCAAATTCCATGAGAAAAAATGTCCTATCAAACAACAAAAAAGTTGGAAAATGTAATTCATTTTCCATGGAATTCAAGGCCAATCAAACATGGCCTTACAATAACTGTTCTATTAGTTAGTAGAAAGAGGGGAAAATGTCCTAAAATTTGTGGCCTTGTATAAATATAGGACCTTAGGCAATGTCTCACCTTCCTAAGGGTTGAGCCACCTTCGGATCAGGTATGTAAAGATGATTTCAAGAAAATTAACGGTTCTCAATCTAAACTAATTTCAACGAAAGATTAACAGCCGTCATGGAAAATTTCTTTTCTACTACAGTCTTAACACTCTTTTTCACCACGATTATTAATTAGTCAAATATGAAAACTAAATGTGGCTAAATAATTGAATTGAAAGCAAGTTTATTTACCTGTTTGATGACTGGTTGCTCATTGTTTCTGCACTTTCACTCTTCTCTCTGCTCATTTTGAAGCTTAATATTACTCTGTCTCTCTCTCTCCCCCCCACAAGTCACTCCTACCTACTCCACTTCGAAAATTATACTGCCAATTTGACTTTGATTTGGCCCATAAACATGTTTTTAATCAAATGCTCTACAGTCTCCACTTTATTTTTCCATAATGGAGACAAGTACATCATTGTAAGATTCTTATTTTTTAATTAACATTATAAGATTATTAATTTGTTTTGAATATAATGAGACCATTATTGGTGAACAGGATTTGACATTTTTTAACTTTTATGAAGGATTTAACAAGATATAGTCGTAGAATAATGTTTAATGTATATCAAGTCGTCATTGCATACATTGTATGAAGTCTTCCGTCAAAATTGTAAATTTTGCACACGTTTGGTGTAGCTAAAAACGTTAATAAAAATCAACAATTAATTTTAACTATATATTCATGAGATCCATAGTTTTTATCAATTTTTCAACCACATATTTCGTTAAGTTTTATCAAAATCTAGATTTTTTATTAAAAAATTCAAGAAATTGAGGATGTCATGACAATATTACAGCTCTAAAGACCCTTCTTTCTAATAAATACAACAATTTTGCTTGGTTTACATCCCCCTCACAATAAGGGGCCCGCAAATATTTAATTCATGTGAGCCCCCTCACATGTTGAGGGGGCTGTACACCATGTACAATTTTTTTCTTAAGAAGATGGAGACATCAATTGGTACATCCATACACGATAATTTCTCTGCGCGTGATGAAAGATCTTTTCCATTGCATTAGTGTCCTCACTGCAGCCACAATTTTTATTTTTTATTTTTCATTTATAGATTATTCATCTCTTATTTTCAATGGAAATTAATTTGATGTTCTCCAATTATAATTTAAGAAAGTAACGTGAGTGCAAATTTTTACGGTTTTTACTCTTTTTTATTTAATTAGCTATAGATCGATATCCAAAGTAGTGAAATACTCTCAACTTTTAAATTTAAGCAAACGTGCCAAGGTCATATTTGGTATTTTTCATCAATATTTGTAAGTGTGTGATGTCAAAATAAACAAGTAGTACAGTAGGTCCAAAGAGCCCGAATTATCATATTAATTAAGGAACATAAGTAAGATATTATCTATTATAGTATTTTTTTTTTTTTTAAATTAAGCAAACATGCCAAGGTGTCAAGGACCGCAGCTTTACTTAGCCCCTTGACACTATCGCAGCCGCAGTTTGCCCAACTTCGGCCGCACATTGTAAATATTATTTCAAGTTTGAGTTGTAATTTTCGTTTCATTGTAATAGTTATTTTAATTGTAAAATAGCTCTGATATTGGTAAAAGATTAGTATGATTCCTCGTCTTTTAAACGTCTACTCCCGTCACTTGGGTTTTTGTTCAGAATGCTATTATAGGGGGTATTAGTCATTCAAAAATCTTTCAAGCTCACTGGTGTCCGCCCCCTGCACCAGCATTTGTAATTTTCTGCTTTCATCAATTGTAATGTTCAGTTTTCAGCAATCAATGTTCAATTTACTTTCAATGTATTCAAATTCTCAATTGTAAGCTTTCTACAAAATTGCAATCAAATTTTCTTTCGTCCCGACGCGACCGAGAAAAGGCGGAAGGTAGTCTAGCGGAGTCAAGAACAATTATGAGATTTTCATCAAGAACAATTATGAGATTTTCATCTTCCTTTTTGACCCAACCGATAAGGAGTAATTTTTGAGAAGTGTGATAATGCTGATTGTTATGACTTCATACTAAGACGATGATATATATAAATGGAATGAACTACAAAATCACAGTAAATTTATATCATAGCCCTTTCCTGTATCACAGCGGCTTGCCTGAAATCCTGCTTGCCTGAAACACTAAAGAAGTACACAAAAATAGCCCCGGTCTGGAATTCTTGATGTTCAACAAGTAAATGAAATTTCAAGAACTCCAAAAAATATGGGAAGCTTCAAGTTCTGCCATGACTAATTTTGGAATATAGAGGACAAGTCTTGGGTGGGTTTTATATCATTCAAGTGCTTGTTCGAATCTTAAATTACTTATTTTACCAGAAAGCATAATGTAATGGGATGTGTGAAACTACAAGTATGACTTCTTGCAAATCTAGATTGAAGGTGCAAATTTTTTATTGCATTTTCTCATTCTACTAGTGTTTCGATTCTATGATAGATATTGTTGCTAGTTGTAAGAAATGATGAATCGAGATCTATAAACTTGCATAAGGTCAAATTAACAGAAAAGAGATCTTCTGGTGAAGAAATCTCGTCTAGAGATGAGCACATAGATAACATAAAAGCTTCTGAAGTGTCGAGAATAGCACTTGGAAAAAAATCTAGAGCAACTTGATTATTATGTTGATTGATCCATAATAGAAAGACAAAATAAGGATACATCCTAATAGAACTATATCTTTGCAAGCCCTCTTCTAATTCGGCTATGATACATAACAATAAAGTCAATAACTCCAGAAAACGGGGCAAGCGGGACGACCTTTCCTGTTTCTTGTCCTAAGATTTTCAGGTGATGGGTGGAGAATAAATATCCTCATGGCCTAAATGTCCATCTCGGTCGCCATGCTTGGATTACTAAAAGTCTAGCAAGAAACATGGACAAAGATCACAAAAGAATGCATCCAACATCTAGCTTAAATTTCTCAATAAACATTCATAGGGGCATTGCTCTGCCGCCACCGACATAATAAAAGTCTGGCAAGGAGCATGGAGATGGAGTAATCTTGACACTTTTCCACCACATCTAAAACCCTAGAGTCTCCAACATCTACTTTAAATTTCTCGAACAACACATTTACTAATGGATTCAGCAGCAATTCATACAAAGAAATTACAGGTAGTAGTAAAACTCTATAAATATATAATCTTGGAATAGACATACCTGGAAGACAATATCAAAGAAATCGATTTTTAGATAAAGCAACATTTCACAGCAATCGATCTATAACAGAAGCCAAAAATCTCATAATTCGAACTGCAGATGAAAGCCTAAATCCGCTTCAATTGAAGAGTTTTAATTAGGTTTGGGCCAACTAAACATATGCAACAAAGGGAGGGAATAAATAATTTTAGGGATAAAATTTTGTAGGAAATCCATTACCAATATCATGAATACATAAATCTTTATTCAATTCAAACCCCATACAGTTACTCGAGAAATATAATATTTGAAAGGACCAAACTATCAGAAGGCAGATACATTCTGCCTGGAAAAGAACAATCCAGATGGGGGCGAGGCCCACCCATCCGGCAGCATTGCCAGCTTCAACAGACTATCTGCACCCTCTTCAACAGTCAATGAACCAGTATTGGCATTTATATCAGTTTTCACATATCCAGGACACACGCAGTTGATGTAGAAATTAGGGTATTTTTTGGCAATAATCCTTGTATAGGCATTAATAGCAGACTTCGACAATCTGTATGCAGGTACATATTCCGGCCAGCCATTGACTTTCAATGAGTTTTCTTTGAAGTCTTGAAGAAACTTGTTGAGCACATTATCTACTTTATCTTCTGTGAGTTCTTCTGCATTGCTTAGCACTTGTTTTGCCCATTCATTGGACTGAAACTGGATGTGGTATCATGAGAAATAGCATATATATGTCAGGTTCTTGAAGAGTTGTGTTCCGTTCCAAAATTCAAGTTTTTATAATCCCCTAAATTATCTTAGGTTGGCTCACCCTTAACTACTAAAAGTAAGGTCACTTCATAGAAAAATTTTAAAAACGCTGTTATTTTTCATTTTCTTCACTATTTTGGTCATCTGAAAATTTTTTCCACAGAAGTAAATAACTTTTACCTTCAATGCACCCATGAGAGAAGACACATTCACAATCCTTGGTGTATCGGACAACCTTAAGAGTGGAATAAATGCTTCAATCATTCTCTTTGTACCATAATAGTTAGTTTGCAAACATTTTTCTGCCCATTCATATGTCTGAACAAGTTTTCCATTTGCTGTGATATGAGCTTCTTGTGGCTGCATTATTGAAGAATGAAAATCTGTTATTGAAATGATCCTGCCTTTAGATTCGTGGTCGACTGCATAAATCTCTCCACTACTGCGTACACTACTCAAAGATCCAATAGACTGTATCTTTTAAAACTACAATGATCATGTTAGTTTTGGTTTACCATTTCCTCTTTCAACCTATTCTACTGATAGCAGCATAAGAGCCTTTTTAGGTATATATAAGACACATCTCAAACACCTTATTTGTCAATTTCTTAATCTGTTATTCAGTGTAATATCATAACTTCTCTTTAATTTTACAAAACAAATAAAAATAAAAATGTCCCGAATGCTTTAGTCTACTATTTCTTATCTTATCTATTTTACCGTGATCACACATGCATCCATTATAACATCCTCATTTACTTCTTCCGAACATTACTGTTTCTATGAAAACATGTTAACATTTGAATCGAAAAGCTCAAAAGGAATATAAATTGAAGTGATTTCCATATTCTATAAAAAGGTGATATTTCCCTGCATACATAGATTTTTTCATGTATGAACAATTAACTTGTTCGGTAAACTGACTTTTATAGCACTCAACAATAAAAATAAATAAAAAGAAATTAAAATTTCGTCAATTATAGTGTCTGATCGTCTTGTATTATGTTAGTCTAAAACTGTCATTAGTAGTAAACATCTTATTCTCAACTAATAGTATTCAATTTCACCTGAAGTTTTCAGTTGAGTGATGAAATAAATATAGTACAAAGAGTCAAAGACCAACCTTGGTGTCATCAGGAATTGAAACTCCATCTGCCTCAATTATATCTTTAACTACTAAGACATCTCCCTCTACACTTACTCCAGTTATACCTGCATTATTCACCTGTGAAATTTTCAGATTTTTTAAAATTACGATTCATAACAAAAAAATTAATTGTAGGAATGGGCTTTAAACATCTCATCTAAAATCGATTAATATCGAGTGGGGACAAGCTAAACCTTTTATGACAGTTGACGATCATTATTTGAGCAATCAAGTCCACGACCTTAAAAGCAGCATTATTGCTTCCCCACATTAATTAATAAAGAAAAATGAACCATTCTTAATTTTATAATCTGAGGAAAAATCTCAACTATGTTGAAATGTCGTTCGGAGTGAACTATTCTACTACTTAGCTACTCTGGAACAAAAGGTGATTTCTTAAGCATGCATTGGATCCACATTGATTGCATAATGAATAGCTAGATGTGTCAAACGAACTGACTTTGTAGAGGCCCAGCCCGGCCCCTATTTTATGGCAGCCAATCCTGTCCAAAAAATCGAGGTCAGGGGATTTTTTTCTTTTTTCTACGATAATATTGGATGTAACAAAGCTTGTTACCTCACAATTTTGGGTCGGCTACAAATTATAAATTTTCGCTACTTTCTTGAGGTTGGCTAGATGAAAACTTTTTTGCTCCTCCCATATCTTCTCCAAGTCTAAAAACAACAAGTATAGCCACTTCCACAGGCTATGTTACTTTTAGTCTACCTGTCCCTATTTAGACGTTTTCCTCCGAAATTCTATCATTCTAATAGAAGAGATTAACCAATAAAGACAAAAAATTGGGCCAAAAAAAAAAAAAAAAAAAAAAAAAATGGGGCAAAAAAAAAAAAAAAAAAAGACAAAATTTAGAAAATAAAAAACATTCAAAAAAGAAGAAAAATTCATACCAAAATATCGAGCTTCCCATAAATGTTTTTGATGAAATTGGCAAGGGAAGCAATACTAGTTGGATCCATTACATCAAGTTGATGAAACACAGCATTTTCTGAGAGACCATAGCCTTTGAGCTTTTCTAGAGCTTCATTGCCTTTCTTCTCATCTCTGGCTGTCAAAACCACAATGACTCCTTTACATGCCAATTGCCTACATAGCTCAAACCCTATTCCTTTATTTGCCCCTGTCACCACTGCATACCTAGAGAAATAAAAAGATGAAAACGGTAAGGGCTTGTTAGATTCACGATATTGAATATGTCAAATAAGACTAAACAATACAGTGGACATGATTTTTTTTCCCCTTAATACTACCTAATCTTATCTGGTACACCTAATCTTATCTGGTACTGAGTATCAAAATTGCCACACAAACCATTTGGTTATGAACTCATTAATATTTATGTTGGGATGGAATCTCCAAGAAAGTTACCAAGATCAACAGAGCGAGCTCAAGCTATTTGGGTACTGTAGGAAAAACTCTGACACTAACTGTTCTGTTAGTTAGTAGAAAGAGGGAAAAAGGTTCAAAAATTTGTGGACTTGTATAAATATAGGACCTTAGGCAATGTCTCACCTGCCTAAGGGTTGAGCCACCCTTAGATCAGGTCTGTAAAGATGATTTCAAGAAAATTAACGGTTCTCAATCTAAACTAATATCAATGAAAGATTAACAGCCGTCATGGAAAATTTTCTTTTCTACAGTCTAACACTCTTCTTCACTACTCAAATATGAAAACTAAATATGCTAAGTAGTTTAATTGAAAGCAAGTTAATTTACCTGTTTGATGACTGGTTGCTCATTGTTTCTGCACTTTAACTCCTCTCTGCATATATATATATATATATATATATATGACATGGGACAGAATGTTTTTCACATAATGAATGACCGACAATCGCGTTGGCCGTGGGCCCACCATTTTTAGGATTTTTTATTCATGCGGGGCCAAGGCGTTGTGAGATGAAGTCAACGATTATGTTAAATTTTTTTTGGCAAAGTAGTTTAATTGTTGTTTTGAAATTATACTGCCAAATTAACTTTGAAGTGCGATCTATAAACATATTTTTAATCATATGTGTACTACAGTCCCACATTTTTTTTTCTAGAATGGAGAAATTCTTATTATTTTGATTAACATTATAAGATTATTAATTTATTTTGAATATAATGATACCATTATCGGTGCACAGATTTGACATTTTTAACTTTTATGAAGGATTTAACAAGATACAGTCTTACAATAATGATTAATGTATATTAAGGCCTATTTGGGCAACATTAAAAAAAAAAAAAAAAAATTCATTGGAAAATTTTTGAAAAAAAAAAAAAAAAAAAAAAAAATTCATTAAATAGTGATTTGACATTATTTCAACTACACATTCGTTAATAAAAAAAATATTACAACTAAACTCAAAAATTTCCCCCCATTTTTTAGAGATTTGCTATATGTACACTAGAGTTTAACCCCCTCACATGAGAGGGAGTCCACGGATTTTTTAATCACTGTGGGCCCCCCACGTGAGGGGGCTGTACACTCTAGTATACAAGTGGAATTTCCTCATTTTTTTAACAAAACATTCTTTATCAATTTACTATTCTAAAATATATTCTTTCAAAATAATGTGACTCAAACACATACTAAGAGCCCGTTTGGTAGCTATTTTGTTCAAAATGCATTTTTCTCTCTCTTCTTTTCAACCACACATTCTTTATTAAAATAATATTACACGTAAATAAAAAAAATTCTTATTTTTCAACTACACATTTCACATCAATTTACTATTGTAAAATACATTTTTACATAAAAATACCTATCAAACACTCCCTAAGTCTTCATTGCTTACATTGTAGGAAGTCTTCCGTTAACATTGTAAATTTTGCACATGTTTGGTGTAGCTAAAAAAATTAATAAAAATCAACAATTAATTTTAATCATATATTCATGAAACTCATAGTTTTTATCAACTTTTCAATTACATATTTCGTCAACTTTTATCAAAATTTAGATTTTTTAATTATGGGTTTGTATTCAATTTTGAAGATTTTGATGGGCTTTTTTTTAAGTGATGACTTCTATGGATTTCGTGGATCTTATATAGATTTGTATAGAATTAGTAGGAGTCTTTCGTTGGCTTCTAAGGACTTTTATTTTAAAATTTTTAAAGACTTTGTAGAATTCGAAAAACTTTTGAAGACTTTCATTTGAAAATAGAATTCACGTAGATCTAGTACAATGGCATGAAATCTTCACATACGAGGTGTTGGTTCCCACAATTCCCCCGTTCCTTCCCAATCTTCTTCCCATATAATTAAAAAAAAAATTAAAAGAATAAAAATTTAAGATCTTAATTAAATAAATAATAACCAAAATCTTACATATATATGATAAATAATAAATTTAATATTCAATATTATTAATATAATATACTTTTAAAAATAAATAAAAATAAAAATATTTAAATTTAATTATAAATTTTTATAATTTAATTAAAAAATATATATTTTTCAAACAAAATGAATGAAAAAAAGTTAAAGAATCCAATTTAATTTTTTTAATAGAATATAGAAATTAAAAATAAGAAAGAGAGAAAGAAAGATAAATGGAAATAAATATAATCAATAAAATTTTTTTTTAATCATACCTCTAATGTTCATAGAAGGAAAAGGCCAAGAAAAACAAAAAAAACAAAAATTTTTTTTTTTTTTTTTTGGTGAAAGTCTTCCAAAATCTCGTGACTAATGATAGACGAATTTTGAGATTTTATATGAATACTTTCTGTTTAAAAGTTAGTTCTTCAGAGACTTTTATAAAAGTTTCCAAAAGTTATTAAAATTTGAATACTCCAAAACTTATAGAAACTTCTAAAAAGTCTTAATTAAATACACCTTAACTTTTAGAGTATATAAAAGTCTCAATTAAATACATCGATTGTTTTAGAGAGTCTTGAAAAGTTTATATTGAATACCCCTAAACTTTTTAAATCCCAAAAAATCATAAAACGTCTCAATTGAATACACTCCTTTAAAAATCTAAGGAATTGAAGTGGTCACGACAATATTACAGCTCTAAAGAACCTTCTTTCTAATAAATACAGGGAGTTGGAGATATCAACTGGCACATGATAATTTCTATGTGCATGATGAAAGGTATTTTCCATTGCATTAGTGTCCTCACTGCAGCCTCAATAATTATTATTATTATTATTTCATTTTTAGATATTCGTCTCCGATTTTTGGTGGAAATTAATTTGATGTTCTTCAATTATAATTTATTAAAGTAATGTGAGTGCAATTTTTTACAGTTGTTAATCTTTTTTATTTAATTAGCTATAGATCGACATCGAAAGTAGTGAAATACTCTCAACTTTCAAATTTAAGCAAACATGACCAGGTCATATTTGGTATTTTTCATAAAAAATTGTAAGTGTGTGATGCCAAATAAACAAGTAGTATAGTAGGTCTAAAGAGCCCGAATTATCATATTAATTAAGGAACATAATTAGATATTATCTATTATTCAATTTTATATGACACCAACTGTAAGTTGTTTGGATTTTGCATTCATCTAATTTCCTTTGCTCGACAAATTCTTCCGAGGGAAGTTGGGAGAAATGAATTGATGTACTTATCGAGTGCTTGAGAAAACGGGAAAGAAAGTTGAGTGTAGTTTTAAGTTAGTGGCTCCTATCCTAATTCATGTCTTACAGATATGAATCATTAGATCAGAGTTCAGTGTCTTCAAATACGTAAAAATAAATTATCCGTCTCTTACTTTTCAGCCTTACTAAGAATATATAGAAGAGATTTAGCTTGTTTTGTAGCCATATTGTGTACATAATAGCATCAACAATACAATTTACAAAATTTCAAGTTAAGAAGATAAAAGGTGTAATGAATTTACAATGAAATTTATTGCAATTTTGGCAACCAAATAACTGTTGGGGATTGATTAAAAACCAAAAGAAAAAAAAAGAATATCGAATACTCGAAATTATACGTAATATAGTGTTGCCGCACTTTTTTATGATTGTAGAAGAGAAGATATTATATTGTAAATTTTTGTGACTTCGATACTTTTAATGGCTTGAGTTACATGGGTATTCATAGATAAGATTTAACATGTATCTAGCCTAACTCATGAACCAACATTGAATAGATACGTTTCTCCTCCTCTACTACATTAATGGACAAATACATGTATAATTATAATTCATGAATCTAGATAATAATTGCAAATTACGTTTCCAACACCCCCTCTTAATTTGCAATTTTGAGAATGTCTCTTACCTTTTGAAATTTCTCGACATAGATCGCCTTGGTTAGAAAGTCTGCGGGTTGCTCATTCGTTCCAATGAATTCCAAGCAGATTTCACCATTACTCACCATATCTCGGATGAAATGATGTCGCAATTCAATGTGTTTTGTTCTCGAATGAAACACCGGATTTTTTGTCATGGCTATCGTAGACATATTGTCACAATAAATTACTGTGGGCTATTTTTGAACTTGTTTCAAATCTGCTAGTAATCGTCTCAACCAAATAGCTTCGCAAGTTGCATCTGTAACAGCAATATACTCAGCTTCTGCGAATGATAACGCTACTGTTTTTTGCTTCTTTGAACTCCATGAAACAACATTAGTTCCGAGACAAAATAAATAACTTGAAGTGCTTTTTCTATCATCCAACGAACCTCCCCAATCACTGTCGCTATATCCAATCAACTTTCTCTCATTTTCTTTTACATATTTGATGCCTATTTTCTTTACTCCTTGCAAGTATCTCACGACTCTTTTAGCTGCTGCAAAATGAAGTTGACTTGGTTCATTCATGAACCTTG